TCTGGCTATAGCACGCGCGCGTATGGCAGGCTGAGGTGTGCGATCAAACCTGATCCCACAGTCACGTGCAGTCATGATTGGGTGTGCGATCAAATCTGATCTCACAGTCTTGGGTCATGTGCAGGCGTGATTGGGTGTGCGATCAAATCTGATCTCACAGTCTTGGGTCATGTGCAGGCGTGGCTGGGTGTGCGATCAAATCTGATCCCACAGTCACGTGCAGTCATGATTGGGTGTGCGATCAAATCTGATCTCACAGTCACGTGCGGGCGTGGTTGTGTGTGCGATCGGTGGTTGGGTGTGCGATGAAATCTGATCTCACAGTCACGCCTGTGTGCGCGCGCGCTACCGGCCGAGAACGCGCCAGCGCTGCGCACAGACTACAGATGCAGCAGTTAAATTATGCGTGGTGCGCGCGCGCGCCTCTGGCTGGAGCACGCGCACTACCAGCCGAGAAAGAGGGACGCGGCGGCGCGTATGGCGCGTATGGCACCGTATGGCAGAAATCTGTCTGCGCACTTTTACGGCGTAAAATCTTCAAAATGTGCTCCACGGACCTCCAGCACGCGTCTTTTTGGCGGAGTGCAGCCTAGTTTACGGCGTAAAATCCTCGACTTATACCAGTAGGGTCTCGCTCTGCGCTACCGCGATTTGTCGCACTGGCAGCCGCGGCTTGCAAATGGCCCGCCAGCATTTTGGCGCTACCCTCTCGCAATGTCTCGTTGGTTTGTGCGTCTACGACGACAGATTCGGCATGGCATACGTCTGGCTCTATCGTCCGCAGCCAAGACTTTTTGCCCCAAAGACCATCCCACTCTGAGGCGGATGGATGAGAATCCTGAACGGCATGCAGAGCTTTGGTAATCATTTGAAGATCCTGCCGCGCACCATTTACCAGAAACGTGCAATTGCCCCAGTCTGAATCTTTTTGAAGAATGTTGCTCTTTCGCAGGGCTTTGCTCATCGGCGCATGCAATGCATGTAGTAGACCTACTCCTAAGCCCAGCTGGATGGCAGGATGGCCAACGCCTGTGGCCTGCAAAGCAGGTTCTTCGACGCCAGGCGCCGCACCAACGATGGAAGCCACGCGCCTTGGACGTGGACACCATTGCGGTCATTGGCGTGACAAGCGATGCGCTGCATTGTCAGCTACCGCGTCCACGCCATGCAAGCTCGCTCCGCTCGACCAATGTCGGGGATATCGCTCAAAGGAGAAGAGGAAGAAGTAGAAGGCGTAACTGTTTTGTCTGGCCGCAATAGTTGGCGAAAAAATCCGTTGTTGACAGAAGAGGGGGGGGATCAATGATTGAGGAGCGATCACTGGTTGCGCGCCAATCCGCCACTGTCGCTCGTTGCCTCGTAACGGACGCGCGACCCTGGCGCTGAGCTCTTCGCTGGACGTTCGCAACAAACTATCGCATTGCTCTTTGCATGCGCAGCGCGGCCAAACGAGCACGATGTACGAACAAAGATCATGGAAAGGTTGTTCTCGCGTGCAAATCCTTTCTCTTCGTGTTTGTCTTTGCATCACAGTTTGTTTCGAATCGCTCTAACATGGTGTGCCGAAAGAAAAGCCACGGTTCTCACCCTATCGTTGGCTCGCAGAAACAGTTTGCTGTGCGCCTGATTTCGCGAGAAACAAGAGCGACCCTACAATGGCAATGGCTTGTGAGCATGCAGAATGGACCACCGCCAACATACGGGCGCCTTCCGCGAGCCCCACCGGCGACGCATTTGGCCGCTAGGAGGGTCTCTGTGGCCACTCTTCTTTGGAGGAGTTTGATCCGCTAGAGTGTTAGGGTTAGCAGAACTTGCAGGGCGTCAGAGCACTCTACGGGACTACTCCGCACGACTCGAACCCGCAGGCCATCAGACCACTTTGCGGGAATCGAGAACCCGCAAGGCGGCAGAGCACTCTGCGCTACCGTGCCCCGCAGGGCATCAGACCACTCTACGGAAATCGAGAACCCGCAGGGCGGCAGAGAACTCTGCGCGTTTCAAACCCGCAGAGCATCAGAGCACTCTGCGAGACCACTCTGCGGGACTCAAATCCGCATGGCGTCAGAGGACTCTGCGGGACTTGCGAGGGCAAAGCATCAGAGAACTCTGCGCGACTGAATGCGCAGCGCATCCACGATCCAGTCCCGCAGGGCATCAGACCACCCTGCGGGACTTGCGAGGGCAAAGCATCAGAGGACTCTGCGGGACTGCTCTGCGGGTCTCGAATCCGCAGGGCGTCAGAGCGCTCTGCGGAACTAACTCGAAGGCGCAGGGCATCAGCCCACTCTGCGGGACTTGAGAACCCGCAGGGCGTCAGCGCACTCTGCGCGAGTCGCGAGTAAAGTGCTCGAGTCGGAGCGCACTCACGTGACTGTCTAAATGCCGGGGGACGCGTGCTATGCGGAGTGCGCGCGCGGGGCACGCAGGGTACGCTATACTGACCTATTGTACCAGACGCGCTGCTGATGGTCCGTCGAGCTCGAGCCGTGGCGCTCCCCCCTAGACGAGGCCGCAGTCGCAGTCGCAGTCGCTTAGAGACAACATCCATATAGCAGTTGAACTGCCAGCTTCTTACCACCACCTTCGTCTGACTTACAGATCTACTCTTGCTGGTGCGCGCGACTCGCGTGGTCGCGCCCGCGGTTCACGCTGACGAGATATGGCCCCCGTTGTCGTGAATTGAAATCAAGCCAACACCTTCGCTCTCTTCGAGACGATTCCTTCCATTACGATCCACGATGGTCAGATCGTCGCCGCGCCCGCTCCGTGCATTCCCATCACCTTTCTCCTGTCGCTCCGCGGCTACCAGCCATGTTGTCACGGTGAGAAGCGTACGGCACACGCAAGACAACCCGGCGCACAAAAAGACAACATGTCACACGTGCACGCACGCGCGGTCGCACATTTAGATATCCTCGTCATCTTCCCGCGCTTGATACAACATCTAATTAGAAAGGAAAGAAAAGACTCGACGGCGTGCCGGGACACGAGGGCGAGCTGCCAAGAGCACGCGAT